TATAGGGATCCTTGTCACGGGGAGCCAAGTAAGTGCCGGCTTTAGATGTTACTTTGGAACAAGGGAGACGGAGTAAATCTATAAAATATATAAAAATTTTTTTAATTTTTATTTTTGAGACAGTGTCCCTAGATGGCTTAGGCTGGCCTAATAATCCTGCCTCAGCCGCCTGAGTAGCTGGGATTACAAGTGTGCACTCCCATGCACAGCTGTAAGAATTATTCTTAAAAAACAAATGTAGGGCCGGGGACTTAACTGCGTGGTTCCACCGCCTGCCTCGCAGGTGCAAGGTCCTGAGTTCATCCCCGGTACCAAACAGACGTGTATGGGGATGCAGCTCCGCGGGGGAGCAGTGGCCTGGCACACAGGCGACCCTGGGCTCCACTCCCAGCGCCACTAAAGAGGGAGGGGGTGGGATGAGGACAGAGACGGCCTGACCGCCTGCCCCTCTGCCCACCGTGCGGCAGCGCCCCGGGTGGCGGAGTGAGGCTCCCGGGCTGCTCTGTGCTCACCCTGGCGCCCAGCCCCAGCTTCCTCAGGTGTGGGCGCCCTGAGCGCGGGGCTTTATCCTTTCCCAGAACTCTCTTATGTCAAACTAGAATTGCATTTCAGTGAAGGTGTGTGTGTGTGTGTGTGAGAGAGAGAGAGAGAGAGAGAGAGAGAGAGAGAAGGAAAGGTTTGAACCCAGGGCCCTTGCACTGAGTTAAATCCCTAGCCCTTTTTTTTGTACTGAAGATTCAACTCAGGACCTTGTGCTTGAGAGGCAGGCGTGGTGCCACTGAGCTAAATCCCCGGCCCTTTTATTTTATTTGTTTTTGCTTTGTTTTTTTGAGACAGGGTCTCACTATGTAGTTCAGACTGACCTGGAGTAGCCCAGGCTGGTCTCGAACTCAACAACGATCCTCCTGCCTCAGCCTCCCAAGTGCAGGGATTACAGGCATGCACTACCACACCCGGCTCAGCCCTTTTTATTTTGAGACAAGGCCTCTCTTAAATGACCTTGGCTGGGCTCCAGTGCAATCCTTCTGCCTCAACCCTGGTGGCGGGATTACAGGTGTGGGCCACCATGTCCAATTTAGCTTTTGTTTCTGAATTCAAAACTATCAGAGGAGTGTTTCTTTAGTTTGTACTTGCCCTTTTTGCAGGGAGACGGCTGGGTTTTTCACAAACCCCTCTGGAAAGTCCTTGCGGCAGCACAACCAGCAGAGTGACCCTTGCTCTCTGGGTTGCGACCAGATGTGGCTCTTCCATTCCCCACCCCGACTGGAGTCGCTGCACTGTGGGAGCTGCCCGCTGCTGACCGCGAACGTACCTCCTCAGGCGCTGTCACCCCACAGCAAGACCAAAGTGTCCACCTGTCCTGTGACACAGCAATACAACCTCAGCCCTGAGGGAGCCGCCTTGGCCACCAGACAGCGAGAACCCAGTGACTTCAACTCTTGGTAGTGAAACGTGAGGTCTCCTTTCAGTCTGTATTTTGCTTTCCGTCCATAATTGAAGTATTCACTGCTCTTAGAAACCACCCATGATGTGGAGGAACTGGCCAGGGATCGCCACTGGGCCTGCGGTCAGTGCTGGGCAGCAGCGCATTCCTGCAGCCACCAGAATCACAGCTGCAGAGTTTGTTCTTCTGAGCATTTTCATATACTTGAAGACAGCACTGACTTGAAAAATTTCAGAACATTTTTCAGTACCTAGTTTTATGAAATATTACATTTGAGAGACAATTTTTTTACATGTATCCACGTCAATATGATGAATTTGGGCCTTACCCAAAAGCTAAGGCATTAAAGAAAATAGCTGATATTAAAAAGTGGAACTGTTACATTTCCTGACCTTTTCTTTGCCTGTAGGTTAGCGGTCAGTATTAGTGTGCTGGGGAGTTTGCTTTCTCTTACCTTGGTGCACCCAAAAGCAGAAGCAAGGGCCACTCGTGTTCGTCAGTGACTCAGTTACACACGTGACCGGGTGGGGTCCTTTCTTTTCAAGGAATCTTAAACAGTGAGGAAAAGGATGAAATAAAAAGCTATCAGGAGCCAGGAGTGGTGGCGCATGCCTGTAATCCCAGCACCTCAAAGTACAAGGGCTAGAGTTCGATCTCTGGTATGAGGAAAAAAGAAAAGCTGTCGGGGCAGGCGATTTAGCTCAGTGGTGCCACCGCCTGCCTCACAAGTGCAAGATCCTGAGTTCCATCCCCAGTACACACAAAAAAGCTATCGGGAAGTTGTATTCAGGTACAAATCTTTTTTAATCAGTATTTCATGGAGGTTGGAGAGCAGTGCTGATTACAGTTCCCTTGTTCGTCCGCCTCGCTCTAGTGCACGCGCGGTGCTCGCCCCGTCCCTGCGAGCGGCCTGAGCTTCAGGAGTGGTGCCTTACCATCCCATCCCTGCACGTGTCTTCCACCCGCGTGTCGCGTCCCTGTCCCCGCACGCGGGACCCGGCTGCGTCCCCGTCCTCACAAGGCATTGAGCTCTGCTCTGATAAATGCTTCTGCCTGAGGGCTTCTGAAGAGGAAAACAACAGAAGGTTTTTTCAACTAATTGTAAATTATATAAAAAAGAAGTGGTTTGTGTAGAACCATTTTAATGATTCCCTTTGCGTTTTTGCTGTGAAATGCACTGGAAAAAAAATCTCAAAATGAGCTAGAGTTCATGTGTTGGGAACATTGAGAGGTAATAAAGTGAAGAGTAATCCTGCCTTTGTCTGTGTATGAATGGAGAGGCACGGGAGCTGTGTTCACAGGGCTGTCACCCTGCTTGTCTTCGGGGACCACTGCCTTCCTCTAAATTCCTACCCTCACCCGTCTGTAGCTGGAACGGACATTTAATAAGCCTTTAAACATGAAAATGTTTGACTTCATTTTCTTTTTTTCCAACACGTAGCCCAAGCTGGCCTCGAACTCGCAGGCCCCCATCTCAGCCTGCTGAGCAGCTGGCGTCACAGCTGTCGTGCACCCTCAGGACTGTCCCAGAGCCGGGTGTCAGATGGGCCTGGCAGGGCTCTGCACACCCACAGTCCCAACTTCTCAGGACACTGAGGCCAACTCAGTGAGATCCTATCAGAAAATAGGGCTGGTAAGTAGCTGAGAGGTGCAGCTCTCCTGGGTTTGACCCTACTACTAGCAAGAAAAAAAATGTTTTTGAGATAGGAATTTTAAATTGTTTTTGAGGTAGAGTCCACTATATAGCCCAGACTGGCCTCAAACTTAGGTCCTCCTGCCTCAGCCTCCAGAGCACTGGATTATAGGCATGCGCCACCTCACCCAGACAGAACTTTCTAAATCATTATGAAAAACTCTACTATGAACAAGTGAAACTGCTCCATTTTTTAAGCTGAGCTCTTCACGGGAGAGCATGAATGTGCCTTAGGCATCCCAGTGCCATCCTAGGAGCAGGGATGGGAGGAGCAGTGTCTTCTCCAGAGGCTGCGGCCATCCACCTGGTGAGGCCGGGGCTTGGGTTTGGTTATTTGTCCACCCCTTGTTATAATTCAGGTCTCTCTTTTGGGCCAAAGTTATTTTGTTGTTTGGTGGGTTGGTTGGTTCTTAGGCTACTAAGGATTAAACTTTTAGCCTCATGCTTGCTAGGCAAGTGCTCTCCAACTGCGCCGCATCCCCAGCCTTTTTTAAAATTGTATTTTGAAACAGTTTCTGTAAGTTGCCAAGTCTGGCTTCAAGCCTGTAGCCCTCCTGCGTCAGCCACCAGAGTAACAGGGAATATAAGTAAGCACGCACCACTGTGCCCAGCAGCTTTGGGGGATTTATTAGACCACCACGTACTCTGAGGCAAAATATCAAGCCCCAGGGAAGCACGTGACTGAAGTTCCACGACACCAAGGACAAGTTTCCAGGTCCAGGACCGGTGACATCCACCCTGGAGGCCCCAAGAGCTAAAGGCAAACTGCAAACCTCCAGTTTTGCCTGGAATTTTATACAACAAAACAATGAAACTCCCACGGAAAAGTTTCTTTTTTGGAGGCTGCTGAAGTACAGGGAGGGGAGGGACACTAACCTTGGGAGCCGAGAAATCCAGAGAGAGTTTCTTCTAGCGCAGGCCGGAGAAGCAGCAGGTTTCTGAAGGTTTTTACTTTTCTTTCCTTTTCTTCGGAGATTCGTGGTTTCGCTTCTGGGGTCTCATTCCAGAGGCTTCGCTGTATTTACTGTTCTGCTTGGAGCCATTGCCCTGGTAGGTGTGGGACACCTGACCTGTGTCACTGCCGTCACATCAAGGAAGGAGAGGCAGGCAGTCCTGGAAGGGAACACAGAACATTTGTGTTCTCTTTTTCCTTTTTGGCAGTGCTGCCTGTATGTTGTAAAGGACACAAAGGCAGATAGGCCAGGGATTTTGCTCAGTAGTTCCAATGCCTACCTGGCAACCACAAGGACCGGAGTTCGATCCCTGGTACAAAAAAAAAGCCCATGCCCTGTCCACACCTGAAACCCCAGCTGTTTGGGGAAGCAAGAGGCAGGGAGGTCACATTGAGGCCAGCCTGGGCAATTGAGTGACCCTGTTTTCCAAATAAAAGAATGATCCACCAGGGGTGTAGCTCAGGGGCACCACACCTGCCTCGCAAGTGCAAGGTCCTCCTGAGTTCAATCCCAGTACTGGGTAAAAGCCAGGTGTGGTGCGAAATGATGGCGGTGGTGGTGAAGAGATCTGGGACGCAGCTCAGGCCGAACACCCTGGGTTCAGTCCCCATACTGTGACCAATAGCCAGGAGCGTAAATGAGAAGTCAGTGTGTGAATAAAGTAAATGAGCGGTTGGTGGAGAGCAAAGCGCCGCAGAAGGAGCTCAGTGTCCACGCGTCCAGTACCATGCCAGGCTCGCTGGTGCTCAGCTGTCATTCGAGCCGCTTGGGAGGCTTCATGGAGAATCACACGTCAGAGGCCAGGCTGGGTAAAACTTAGGGAGACCCTGAATCAAATAAAAAAACAGGCATGACATTGCTTGTCTGTCTGTGATCCCAGCACTCTGGGAGGCTGAGGCAGGAGGATGGCAAGTTTGAGCCCAGCCTGGGGATCTCAGCAACTTAGCAAAATCTTGTCTCAAAAAAATATAAAAGACCAGGGATTTGGCTCAGTGGTTCCGCTGCCTGCTTCCCAAGTGCAAGGGCCCCGAGTTTGATCCCCAGTACCAAAACACAAACAAACCAAAGAGACTGTGGCTGCAGCTCAGTGCCAAGCACCTGGCTCAACCCCCAGGACTACAGGGGTGAGGTCCTGGGGGTGTAGTTCAGGGCTGTCTGGGCTCAGTCTCCAAACAGAACAAAATGAAACAACCCCAGACAGCCCAAAATTTAGAATTTAAGGAAAAGCAAAGAGAAGAAAGGGAGGCAATACAGAGAAAAGGAAGGAAGGGATCCGTAGCTCACCCAACGCCCCACCCAAAGTAAAGCTTAATGAAAGATACTAAACCAAGCTCGGCCGCCGCAGCTGAGTGTCTGGCACTCACCCAGCGGTTCCAGCCCTGGTCCACCGCACAAGCTCACCTCTGCAGGCCTCACCATGAACCTGCCACACACCAGGAGGTGCCGAGTGCTTGTAGGATCCAGCCACCCTCACATCGTCACCCTTGCTTTTTTAGGACAGTTCATGGGGACAGATGGGCGCCCACTGCCCTTCTCTGCTGGGTATCCCTTGTGTCCAGGCTTGACTTTTTGTTATTGCTGGGTTTTTTGTTTGTTTGTTTTTGGTACCAGGGATCAAACCCGGGACCATGCACTTTCAAGGGAGGTGACAGAACCGCTGAGCTAAATCCCCGGCCCAGTATTGCTGTTTTTTGAGACAGGCTGTCTATGCTATGAAGCCCAGCCTGGCCTTGAAATTGCAGTGATCCTCCTGCCTCGGCCTCCTGAGTGCTGGGATGACAGGTGTGTGCCACCACATCTACAGGGCAGACTTCAATAGGTCGAAGCCAGGCTGCTGCTGTTACCAGGGAAACGCCACAGAGGAACCGGTCCTCTACCAACAGTGTAGCAACAGGCTCCCCACAGTGTGCATTATGTGCTAGGTGAGAGGGCGGCCCCCTTTCCGCTGCACTCCATTCCCCAGGGGAAGGGCTCCACACTGAACCCCAGTGGGCAGAGCAGGGAATGGCCCACACTGATGCTAAGTGGCTCCTCTCGGGGACAGTGGTTGGGGGTGGCTCCCTGAGACCAGGTGAGCTCGGCTGCTGCTCTGTTGTGACCGCACGAGCAACTTTGCCCCAAGCATGCAGCCAGGCGCATCTGACCAGTGCAAAGGCGTCCTGTCACCGACCCAGCTCCCCATCTGTGAGTGGGGAAGGGACCCGCAGTGGGTGACTGCCTCCCAGAGACAGAGAGGACGGCAAAGCGCCATCACTGATCCACTGGTTGCCACAAGCCGCCTATCCCTGTGGCAGCCTTCCTGACACCTCCTGTTTTAACCCCACAGGGCAAGGGCGGGAAGGATGTTGAGCTTCCCCTCTCTGCTCCCTGCCCTCCCTGAGCCGCTGGGACACCTGTGTCGCTTTCCTTCCCGGCCTGGCTGCGCTATGCTGCACAGCAGGCCCCGGGGGTGGGAGTCGTCCATTCACTGTGGACACAACTGACACCCGGCCTTCAGCCTCCCGAACCCGCCTCCTGTTCACTCTGACCGTCGGAGCAATGGGCAGGAGGCACATGGCGCCCACACCGCTATGCTTTCGTTAACAGCGGGGTCTCCTGGTCGCCAGCATCTCCGAGTCAGCTGCGGGGGGTGGGCCAGAGCAGGGGAGAGGATGGGTCCTGCGGGTGGGGGCCCAGCTCCAGCCTCAGTGTGCACCCGACCGTGCCGGCCCGGAGCAGAGAGGATTGGGATTCACAGGTGAGTGTCGCGCGGGGCCCCGCAGCAGCGCCACCTCGCGGGGTCCCCCGGCCCCAGACCCCCTGCGCCAGCGGAGGGTGGGCCCAGAGTGTTAGGTGAAAAGGGCCGAAAACTAGGACCAGACCGGGACCGTAACAGGCCCTCCTTACGGGGGGATCTGCCGGGCCCTCTCCGAACAGAGGGAAGGCAACGTGGCCGAGACAGGGAGCTTCCTACAGGACTGGGTGGGGCCGGGCGATGGAGCGGCCCGGGACGGGAGGGGGAGCTTGTGACATCACTAGGAGGGGCCTGCGCCTTCCCTAGTTAGGGCCATGGCAAGCAGGAGGAGGGGAGGCGAGCAGGGGGCCCCTAAGCCCCCGCTCTCTGGTTCAGCCACCCTAAGCGGGACCCCAGGGCGGGCGGGCGGACCCGCGTCATTTCCCTCCTCAGCCCATTAGTGCGTCTTAGGGTTCGCCACCGCGCCCTACACCGGGACGGAAGGACCGGGCGCGGGGTACCGCGTCCCCGGGCTCACAATCCTGCTTCGCGTCCCCAACTTGCTCTGCCTGCGAGAGGCCAGTGCTGCGGGTGGTAAAAAGAATTTACCAACGGCCAAGGAATTACAGCAAAGTGAAGTTTCACCATCCACAGCAGGACAGCCGCATTGCCCGCGTGGTGGCGCACAGCTGTCATCCCTGCACTGGGGAGGCCGAGGCGGGAGAGTCGCTGTGAGTTCAAAGCCAGTGTGGGCTACATAGTGCGGCCTTGTCTCGAAAAAAATAAAAAAGAGCAGTGGATGGGCCCAGGTGAGGCCCGCGCACTCGGGGTGAGGGCCGGGATTCTGTGCTTGACTCTAAGGCGAGGAGGGCCGGGCGGCGTCACCCAGGGCCACAGCGCAGCCAGGTGCTGTTTGAGGACGGAGCGGGGCGCCTGTCCTCAGGCCAGCGTCCTGGGCTGGGGTCAGAGCAGGGCCCTCGGAGTGCCGCACTCGGGGAACTCGTGGGGTCGCCTCGGGAGAGGGGAGGGCGTGGTGTTGGGGACACGAGGGGCCGAAGGGCCGTCCCGTGGTGAAGTGCACGCTTCCTCTTCCGGGGCGCGGCCTGGGACGGATGCAGCTCCAGACTGCAGTGTGGCCTTAGAGCAGCCGGGATGTTCTGCGATTTCTGCACAACCCTTTTCTGTCCTGTTTTGGTTGTATTGAGACAGGACTCCCTTTGTAGTTCAGGCTGGCCTCGACTTGCTGCAATCCTCCTGCCACAGCCTCCACAGAGCTAGGATTAAGGCATGCACCACCACACCTACTCAGCCTTTTTTAATTTTTTGAGATCGGGCCTAAGTCACTAATTTGTCCAAGCTAGTTCAAATAATTTGCAGTCCTCCCGCCTCAGCCTCCTAGACTGTTGTCTGGGATTCTAGGCGGGTACCCCCACGGGCGCCTCCAACTCCATTCTCCTGAGCACCCACAGCCAGTCTTCTGGATTCCCTGGCAGGGCAGTGGAGCCAGACCGGAAAGATGAAGTGCTACAAGGCAGGTCTGCGCTGGGATGAAGGCCCGGGCGGGGGGGGGGGGGAGCGGAAACCCCAGCTCCAGGGGACCTGGAGCCGCCCCAGAACTCAGATCTTTAGTTGGAGCTCAGAGGGCAGCAGGCGTAGCCATGAGCCTGCCGGTGTCGCGTTCTGCAAGTCATGGGTGTCGGCTCTGCCTCTTCCTCCTGTCCCCTCGGTGATCCCCACCCAGTCCTCTGAGCTGGGAGAGCTAGGAGGGCTGTCCAGTCCCCATCAAAGTGGCTGCCTCATGGCCGGGCATAGTGACACACTCCTGTAATCTCAGCACTCAGGAGGCTGAGGCAGGAGGATCACTGTGAGTTCAAGACCAGCCTGGCTGGACTACATAGTGAGTTCCAGGTCAGCCTTAACTACATAGTGAGACCCTGTCTCAAAAAAACAAAAAAAAAAAAGCGAGGGGAGGGCTGCCTCAGGCCAGGCAGCAAGGGTGTCCACCCCCCAGATCAGTGAAGACCACAAGTGGGCAGGACCCAGAGAACACACAGAAAGCCCAGGGGTCCACCTCAGGGGTGGTGCAGATGGTACCTCCTACAAGGAGGGCGACCACAGGGCTTTCCCCCCACCCCAGTGCTGGGGACAACCAGGGCTTTAGCACTGAGCTACATCCCCAGCCCCTCTTATTTTTAATTTTGAGACAGTCTCTCCAAATCTCTTAAACTGTTCAGGCTGCACTGGGCCTTGTGATACTCCTGCCTCAGCCTCCAGCGTCCTGGGATGACAGGCATGGGCCACCACCGGTGCTAGCACCTCCCTACTTGAGCCTGGTGTCTTGTGTGTCATTCGCAGGCTGTACCCAGTGACCTCTCTGTAGCCTTCAGGGTCTACACTCGTGTTCAGGGCTCAGCGTTTGGGGAATTTAACATGATTGTTTCTTTCAAACATCACATTATAGTAATCATTTCATACATCATGTGAATTTATTTTTTAAATAATGCCATCACGGTGTATAGCCAAATGCCTGTAATGCCAGCCTTCTGGAAGGCTGAAGCAAAAATATTCAAAGTTCAAGCCCAGGGCAGTGGTATCAGTGCCTGCCTCACAAGCACAAGGTCCCTAGTTCAATCCCCAGAACCAAAAAAAAAAAAGAAGAAGGAAAGAGAGTTCAAGCCTAGTTTGGGCAATTTAGCAAAACTGTCTCAAAATAATTTGGGGGGCCTGGGATGTAGCTCAGTGCAAAGGTCCAGGGTTCAATCCCCAGTCCCACAGATAAAGTTTTGTTCACTCTTTATACTGCCTCTGTTATCTGTTCTATTTGCAATTTAGTAAGCCAGGAAGCTGCTGACTCTGAGAAGCCAGGCAGGCGGTGGGAACTCAGTGTCCTGCCAGCTTCACCCGAGGCAGGCACTGTCCTTCCGCCCTGGCTCCCACCCTGGCCAGAGCCCTCCCTTATGGCCACAAGCCACCCGGGTCACCACACGGTCACGCCTGCTCCTTCACAGAGCTGCCTGTCCCTTCGGGTGAAGATGAAGGCTGAGCACATGGGCAACACGATCCCAGTTAAAAATGCAGTGCAGGTTGTTGAAATGGAGACACAGGAAATGAGCCAGAGATTTTTTTTTTTTTTTTTAAAGGAAGAAATCGTGGTTTGGTTTTGGGGGATTTTTTTTGTTTTCGTTTTTTGAGAATGGGTCCTGCTGTGTAGTCCAGGTTGGCCCCAAACTTGAAGCAATCCTCCTGCCTCAGCCTCCCCAACGTTGGGATTACAGGCGTGCGCCACTATGCCTGAATGGAGGGAAGCAAGTGTCTCCTAGAGGAGGCCGCTTCTGCACAGGGCGCTTCTTCCCAGTGTGACAGTCCCAGGCCTCGGGTCCGAGCCCCACTGCCCACCCACAGAACGGAAGATGTGGCTGCTGAGTGGGGTCAGAATGCCCACGTGTGCTGAGAGGTGGCCTCCAGGAGGAAGTAGTCCCACAGGTGACCGCGGGGGACCTCACATGTAGCATCAGCAGGGTGGTCCCTGTTCTGGAACAGTTATGTAGAAAAACAGCATTTTACATGTAAGTCAGGCTCCACTTTCTTTGAAGATCCTGAAATTACCTCATCTAGCACAGTCAAAAGCCAGAAGCCGGGCATGAGGACACATGAGGGAAAAAAAACAACAAACTAGCACTCCAGAGGCTGAGGCAGGAGGATTACCACAGTCTGAGGCCACCCTGGACTACACAGTGAGTTCGAGGGCAGCCTGAAGTGCATGGTGAGACCTTGTGTCAGAAATAAACAAAAAAGTAGGGATTCAGAGCTTGAGTATGGCTTACCTCTAAAATGACAGGTCTGAGACTGGCAAGACTGCTGGTATCAGAGTGCTGGGCAGTGGCTGCCCTCGCCGCCCCCAGGAAGTTGCGACGTGAACTCTGATGTTGGCGACGCAGAAGTTGGGAGACGCAGACTGCAGCAGTGTCTCCTCCTCCTGGCCTCGAGCTCACCGGTTCCACCAGCAGCGCTGTGACCTCCGGACGCCGCCTGGACTCACTTTCCTTGTCAGCGATCAGGAGCAGCTCGCCTGGCCCTCAGGCAGTGGCGGTGCACACAGGTAGAGCTCTGCGTGCGGGTTCTGATCTGGGAGGGCTGTGACCCGTGCGATCCACTCCCACTCCAGGAGTCTTGGCCGCAATTTCCCAGACAGATCATCTGCCTGGAAATGTGGGACGATGGTAGACTTGCAAACAAGACGTCCACGGGCAGTGTAATTCTTTAGATAATGCAAGCAGGCAGTTGGCAAATCCACTATGGTTTTCATCTCAGTTACTGTGTTGGTTACTAAATATTAGCGCAACCAAGGGACAGTTCTAGGGTGGATGGACAGCGTGGTAGCCCGAGTTCGGTGTTTTGTCCTGTCCCATTCCTTGCCATCGGTTTCTTTGTGGGGTTTTTTTTTGGGGGGGGTCCTGTTTATGGGTTGTTTTGTTTTGTTAAAAACAAGGTCTTGCCGGGTAGCCTGGCTGGCCTTGAACAAACTAGCCCAGGCTGGCCTTGAATTTAGAGACCCTCCTGCCTCAGCCCCCGGAGTGCTGGGATTATAGGCGTGCGCCACCACATCTGGCTCCTGCCATCTGTTACTTGTGTGCGCTGAGCTCTGCAGTGACTGCCCTTCACCTCAGAGATAAATGCAGACTTTTAACTATTTCGTCAGAAAGCTCTTGGTGTTTATTGTTTCTCTTGCAAATATTTTGTATTGGTTTTTATGGCATCTTCTAAAATTCAGTTTCGATGATCATGATTTTTCCCTTTTTTTTCTGCACACTACATTGCTTTTGTTTTGTTGTTGTTGCTGTTGTTTATTTGTTTGTTTGTTTTGGGTACCAGGGATGGAACTCGGACCTTGGCTTGCGAGGCAGGCAGCAGAACCACTGAGCTAAATCCCCGGCCCTGGGTGCTAATTTTTTAATTACATTTTTATGTTGACTGGTACATGTTTGCAGTGCATAATGATTACACCCCTCCTAGGATTATTTTTTCCCAAAACATCCAATTATACTAGGGAAAGGAATTCAGCAACTTAATGCCATCACACGATACCTTCGAAGGAGTTGGGAAAGAACAACGTGTTTGCACTTCATTTCCTGGTCCCTGCGGGGTCTGGGAGGAGTTGCGCTCCTCCCTGTGCCGTGGAAAATGTCTCACCGCCCCATGTTGCGCATGTCCACAGCTCGCGGGCACCATGAGGGCGGCCTTGTCCGGCACCATTCTTGTCGTGGTGGTCTGTGCATGGACGGCCGCTGCTGTGGGTGAGTCACAGTGGTGGGGCTGACTCTCCTTCATTTCCTACAGGCGTCCGCTCACGGGGAAAGAGAGCCTTCCATGCCCTTGACCTTCCTTGAATCCTAATTCCTCATGTGACAGCAGAAACTCAAATCCAGAGAAAGAAGGAATTCACACAGTTTCTTTTTCATTTGTTTGCTTGAAGACAGGGTTTCTCTCTGTGTGTGGTTCAGGCTGGCCTTGAACTCACCATGTAGCCCAGGCTTGAACTTACAGCGATCCTCCTGCCTCAGCCTCCTGAGTCCTGGGGCCACAGTCAGTGCACCTGGCCCACAGGCATCCCTTCCGGCCGCGTCCCCAGAGCGCTGTGTCCTGCCATGCTCCAAGCCCGGCTGTCACAGGGACTCGCGGCTCCAGGCTCAGCGCCCTTCTCTGAGAAGCTGAACAACAGTTTCTCAGTTCCCTTCCTCTCTCGGGTCACCACCCTGCGAGCCCGCACTTGCCGGCTACCAAGAGAGCGGCAGGCTGACTGTGTGGCAGGAATGGCTCAGCCTCCATGTGACACAACCGTGGTGGGAGACACAGAGATATCAGGATCCAAGCCGGAAGGAAGGTTGAGGCAGGAGGATTATTGCAAATTCCAGCCCAGCCTGGGCAACTTAGCCACTTAACGAGACCCCGTCTCAAAATGAAAAAGTTTTCAAAGGCTGGGGATGCAGCTCATGCAGAAAACCTGGGTTCAGTCCCCAGTTCCACACACAAAAATGTGAATTCTATGATGTGCATAAAGCTGATAAGAGCTGGTGACAATAGCAAATATAAACATATTAATTACAATGTCATCATTACACTGCAGGATATATATATATAT